CCTAAGGTTTTGCCAGACTTCTGGAGACAGAAACAAGCAGGAAGGGTAAGCCAGGGAAGGGGGGTGGTGAGGAAGTTGGGGGCAGGCAAGGGAAGTGGCTGGATGGCTTTGGTACTGCAGGAGGCACCAGGTGTGAGCTGCAGGAGATGACGAGGTCAAGGGGAAGCTGGTTAGGATCTGGGAGTGCTGCTCTCGGGAGGCGACCAAGCATTCAGCTGAGGACCAGGAGTGTTAGACATTTAGGGCTTTGCATCTTCCTTGGCTGAAGATTTTCCTACTTGTTTTTAAGAAGGTGGCCTCAAAGGGTCCTGGGTAAGGAAACCCTGCCATCCAGAAGGGAGTGAAGCCATAAGGGATAGATTTGTGCTTTAAATCCAGGCCTGGCCAAGCAAGTAATGTACCTTGGTACCTGGAAACAATTAGTCTGTATAGAATTTTGTCTCAAGATCTCCTGGTAGTGAAAAAAAATTTTTTTTTTTTAATTCCCAAGCTTTCCAAAGGCCTCTGTTAAGCAACTCTCAGAGAATTCACAACACCGTATTGACTGATCTGTTTACATTCTCCCTTCCCTTAGTGAGGCCTCTCCAGGGTGAGGGCTGCACATTGTTTTTCTTTAACTGCCAGACCTGGGGTATCAGGGCCTCAGAGGTCAGAGAAGTCAGGGCCTTGTCTTCCATTTCTGAGAGCCCTGACATTGATTAAAATGGGAACAATGACACAATAAGTTTATGAAAGTCATGGCCTAATTCAAACAAAGAGTGAAATGGGTTAACACTCTTACCACACTTGCACAAAAATGAAACATACTTGTGCTACTCATTGATGACAGACTTATTGAAAAAGTATTATTCACAGTGGAGAGTCTCCACCTCATCTCGTTGGGAGCTGATGTCAGCATCTACACTTGAGGCTGTGAGGCAAATGGGCCTCTCACCACGGAGGCCATTCCAACCACCCTTCCCAGTCCTGCCTGACCCCAGCTGGATGTGTGGCACGTGAACGGCACTGGGTGCACGTTCCATTTCCCCTACTTGGACCACAAAGCCATGGGCATGTCTTTGGATCCCTGCTTCTCCTCTTTCTGGTCTTTGCTCCAACATGGCCTCTGTGGAGAGACCTTCCCATTCCCCTCACTCTTCAATACCTTTCTCTACTTTTATTTTCTCCATTGTACTTGCTGTCGCCCAATATTCTGCATAGTTGGCTCTTTATTTTTTTCTTGTTCGGTTTCCTTTTAGAACATAAGCTCTAGGAAGCTTAGTAGCTTCCTAGTAGGTACTAGTGACTCCTACTAGGTAATCCTAGTGGGTAATCCTATTGGGTACTAGTGTTCATTTCCTAGGGCTACCATAACCCACCCCTGCCCCCTGTCAAACTGTGTAGTTTAAATAAGAGAAAGATGTTGCCTCACAGTTTAGAGGCTAGAAGTCTAATGTCAAGGTGCTGGCAGGATTAGGTCCTTCTGAGGGCTAAGAGGGAGAATCTGTTCCAGACCTTTCTCTTAGCTTGTGGTGGCCTCAGACATTCCTTGGCTTTTAGGTGGCATTCTTCCTGGTCTTCACATTTTCTTCCCTCTGTATGTGTCTGTGTTCAAACTTTCCCTTTTTATAAGGACACTGGTGACACTGGTAACACTGGATTAAGGTCCATCCCAATGACCTCGATTTAACTGGATCATCTGCCAAAAGCCTATTTTCAAATTAGATCACACTCACAGGTACTTGAGCTTAGGACTTCAACATCTTTTGGAGGAAGCCATTCAAACTTTAATTGTAACAAATATTTGTGGAATAAATAAATGAAGTCACTTTCTTGATTTGGGATGAAAGCAGACCATTTGAAGGCAGACCTGATCTTGACCATTGGTGGACATTTAATAGGCATCTGCAGAAGATGGAGAAGGGGGACAAGGGAAAGAAGGGGTCTTCCCGGAGCTGCTGACTGCTGAGAGGTGGAAAGGCAGGAACTGTCCAGCCAGATCTGATGGGGATTCCATTCACACCCAGCAAAGCAGAGCCCAGAGCAGATCTCAGAGGAACCAGAGGGGCCTGCATGCATTTCAAGGAATCTGAAGCCAGAGGTTACAACTGGGGAGCAATACCCAAATGGAGAACAAGGAGGCAGATTCTGAAGGGCTGAAACCCCCATGAGGGCTGGTAGCAAAGAGGACCCAATTCCTCTTGATTGTTGGTTTAAGGTCCCACCTGGACCACAGGTGGAGATGGGAAGCAGGAAGCCAGTGCCCTGTGTGTGGGCTTGTGCTGAGGATGGAACTCTGGGCCATGTCACCTTCTTGCTCTTAGGCTTCAGTATATGCTTCCTTTCCCCTTGGCTGCTTTTTCTCTGGATAAAAGGTACTTTTGAGCATTTCAACTTTTTTATTGGCTGTCCTTGGGAGGAAGGGAACTGCTGATGGGAGACCAGTTGAAGGTGACCCAGGGCCAGGCAGCAGGCAGCCCAGCGTGAGATGAGAAAGAAGTAGGAGCACAGAGCGTAGACCTCATGGCTGACCGCGGAGCCTTTCCTAGTTGAGGATTTAATTTGCAAGATACGGAAGCAGAAAATATAGCCCAACTTTGGCTTCCTGAAGATGTAATGTCACTGGGCCAATGTTATGGTTTAGATATAAGGTGTCCCCCAAATGCTTATGTGTGACACAATGTAAGAAAGTGTAGAGGTGAAATGATTGTGTTATGAGAACCTTAATCTAATCCCTAATCCTTGATAGGGATTAACTGGGTGGTAACCATTGGCAGGTAGGGTATGGCTGGAGGAGATGGGGAGATGGGGGCACACCCTTGGGGTTTCTGTTTTGGGTGTGGGGAGGGGAGCAGTCTCTTTGCTTCCAGGTTCCATATCCTGAGCAGCTTTTCTCCACCATACCCTTCTGTCATGATGTTCTGAGACCTCTGACACAGTGAGCCTCAAAATAAACCTTTCCCCCTCTAATTGTTCTTGTCAGGTCTTTTGGTCACAGCAGAAAGCAAAAAACCAAAACCAAACCAAACCAAAACAACAACAACAACAAACCTGACTAAATAAACAAAAAGCCATTACATGCACTTACAGAGCGCAGGATGAAGGAACTTCATTTGGTTCAAGGAGCAATGGTCAGTCATCTCCCAGCAGACGTAGGGGAAATCCCTGGGATACACAGCTAAGTGAGCTACCTGGTAGAGGAGACAGGCATGTAAATAAAAGTTTTGTCCCAGAGAAGTGTCAAAAGAGAGTCTGCCATTATTGTTTTCCTTGGGTGGCCCAAAAGTGAGTGGCTTAAAACAACAGAACTGCATTGTCTCATGGTTCTAGAGGCTAGAAGTTCAATGTCAAGGTGTCAGCAGATCCATCATTCTGACTCCTAAGAAGAATCTTCTTGCTCTTCTGGCTTCTGGTACTTAGCAGCAACCCTTGGTGCTCCTTGCTCACAGATGTGTTACTTCAGTCACATGGTATTGTCCCCTGTCTTTATTTTGACGTCAGTCATATTGGACTATACTAATGGCTTCATTTCACTTGATTACCTCTGCCAAAGTCCTATTTCTGAATGAGGTCACATTCCCAGTGCTGGGGCTTATGACCTCAATGTGTCTTTTTTGGGAGGGTGCAGTTTAACTCATTGTCCTGTAAATAAGTGACCACCTGAGGGTATGTGTATATAACAGGCAGAGGGTTAGGAAAGTTTTCCCAGAAAGATCACTGCAGAAGGAAAAGCATCTCAGACAGACAGGACAGCAAAGACGAGAAGAACTAAAGATGGAAGACACTGCCACTCTTGGGATTCAGCTGTGTCACAGGCATGATGTTAGATGCTACATGATCACACCTATTTCATTGTGTCCTTACTACCCTGTCTTGATAAAATGAGACATGGAACCAGGAAGGGTCTGCCCAAGATCAGACACAGTGTGGCACCACAGTGGAGAGAAGAACCCACACCTGAACCCTGTGTCTAGTGACTTATCTAAAAAAATGGCATAAAACTGAAGTGATTCGCAGGTGGGAGAATGTGGGGGGGGGTAGGGCAATCTCTTGGATGGAGCCTACTCCACCATGGAAATTCTTCTGGGTCAGACATCTGAGAAAGGCCTTGGACTGACGTCTGAATCTCCAGAGAAACTTGCTGAGCTTCTGGAGATTTACAGATCCAAGCAACTGCCATAGTGATCAGAGTTGGGTTGTCACACCCCACTCTAGGACTTGGCTTACTCTGTGCCCTTGGGTAGGGCAAATGCTGCTCCTCATGAGAAGACTAGCTATCAGTTTTCAGTGTGTCCTTGGCCTTGAGGAAAATAGGGACAGCCTGGTGGCTTGACTTTCCTACTTCTGTGCCTCTGCCAAGTGATTAACTACCACATACAACCTCCAAAGACCTAATAAGTACTTGGTAAAATAAATTCAACAATCTAAGCTTCTCCAAGAGGTAGTGGGGAGAACTCTGTCTTTGGAGGTGGAACATGGGTTTGAACTTGGGTCCTCCTACTTACTATGTGCTCTTGGCTATGTCAGGGCTGTCTCTCAGTTTTTTCATTTAGATGCTAACCTCACTCACAGAGTAGTAGTGGGTATTGAATAAGACCATAGATGTGTTTTGTTAATATTATAGTGCTGTATATATGCAAATTATTAACCATAATTTATACACTTAGGACTTTAAAAAATTTTTTTATATGTTGATGGACCTTTATTCTATTCATTTATCTATATGCCATGCTGAGAATCAAACCCAGTGCCTCACACATGCCAGGCAAGTGCTCTACCACTGAGCCAAAACCTCAGGCCCCACTTAGGACTTTTCATGGAGCTAAATTAGACAATCTCCCCTGTAAGCTTTTCTTTCCCAAATAGGACCCTTTGAAACAGGTTGTCAAACTATGGCATAAAAGCCAAATCTTTCTAGTCTTAGTTCATGGTCTGAACAGAACATAAGAATGACTTTTATATATTTAAGTGGTTAAAAAAATCAAAAGAATAATATTTCTTTCTATTGTTCTTGGTACCAGGGATTAAACCTAGGGGCACCTAACCACCGAGTCAGAACCACTGTCCTTTTGAGATGGTCTCACCAAGTTGTACAGGACCTCACTAAATTGCTGAGGCCAGCTTTGAACCTGCCTCAGCCTCCCGAGTCGCTGGGATTACAGGTACTTGCCACTGCAGCTGACTTAAGAATAATATTTCACAGCACATAAAATTGATATGAAAGTCAAATTTCCACGTCCATCAATAAAGTTTTGTTGGCCTATAGCCACACTCATTCTTTGTCCTGTGGTTGCTTTTACTCTACAACAGGGAGTGGATGGAGTAGCTACCCTGGACCCTGTGTGGCCTGCATACCCCAAGATATTGACCACCTAGTCCTTTACCTAAAAGATTTGCTGACCCTGCTCTAGAATAACAAAACCAGGCAAATAAAACTCGGAGCTACACCCTAGTCTTTTTATTCAAATTAGCTGTGTCCACATTTCTTAAACCTTTAGGTCTTTGAGGAGTTCCTGCAGCCCCAACTTCCCAGAAACTGAGGACATCAGCCTGGACTGTAGCTTACACAGGGTAACAAATCTCTCCCCAAGACAGCCTGTGTGCTGGGTGGCCTGAGGCCTCTCCTGTCAGAACTGAGGGATAGACGAAGGCCCTGTTCCCTTAGGAGAGCTGCAGCTGTCTGAGCCCAGAGCCACACAAATCCTGCCTGCTGCATTTTGGCCATTGAAGTTGCCTGTGTGTCAGCTGGCAGAGTGCTTTGCCTAGTGACAGGTCTCCTATTTAAATATAATCACCTTTTTATATCCACAGAGCTCCTGAATGCCTGTCCCCACCCAGAGCTTTCCCTGATGATTGAAAACAGCTAAACCAACAAATGGCATTATCTCTTCTGAATGGACTCAGTTTATCACCTGGACAAGCCCAGAAATTTTAGTGCTGAGCTTCTCTTTGTTGTAGCAACAGGTGCTCAGGAAGGGAGCAGGGGCGGGCAGGGGGAAGGATGGGTTTAAGTACCGGAATGGGGCAAGAAAAGGAAGGTTGTGGAATGCTCTTTGGGGGAGATCTTTGGAAGATGAATCAGCTTCGCTACTCTGGAATGAACTGGAACGGAATCCTCAGGGGTGACAGGTGACATGATGATCTTTCAAGGTTCTGGAAAATGTTCTATGATTAAACTGAGTATTCTATAAAAGGAGAGGTTCCTTTTTTTTTTAATTTTTTTTTTTTTTTTTTTAGGTAATGGTGGAGATTGAACCCAGGGCCCAAAGGAAAGGTTCCTAAAGACTTTTCTTGCAAAGTTCAAGGAAACAAAGATTTTACGGGAAGATTTATTTTTCTTTATATTTTTTAGTTCTGCATATAAATATCCCTGTAGCCTAAGCTAGTTTAAGTATCCAGAAAACAAAGAAGGAAAGGAAGGAAGGAAGGAAGGAAGGAAGGAAGGAAAGAAGATTGGGTAGATGGGTGGGGGGGAGAAAGAAAGAAAGAGAGAAAGAGAGGGAGGGAGGGAGGGAGGGAGGGGGATGGATGAGGGGGGAGATGCAAAGAGACAAGCCCAACTAGAAATGTCTTGCATGACTTTCTAATTGCTTTGTTGACAGTGTCTTCTTTTCAGTGAGTTACGCTGTTTTTGAGGAAAGGGACAGAGTTGTAGCAGCCAGGATTGTTCTAGTTACAAATAGCAGAATTTCCATAATCAGCCCAGGCTAGAAGGGATTTGTTGGTCTAACAGACAGCTGGGGACAGGGAAGAGACAAAGGGCTAGGACTCACTGCCCCTCACATAGATTCCTGCCCATGTGCCCTTCTTGTGCACCCAGCCTGACTTTCTTTTTAAGTTGGATCTAAGGGTGCCAGCAACCACAGAGTTCCACATCTGCCATCTTTACCCCAAAGAAGCAGCACCTTTTCTCGAAGTTTGATGGAGGAAGAGTTAGGTCAGCGTGGGCCTACCTTGACTCATGTGCCCAACCTGTGGTGACAGAAGCAGGCTTCATGGCTGGGGATCTCTAGTAGAATATGAGTGGTATGGGATGGGCTGAAGGAGGACATCCCCAAAATAGAAGTCAGTAGGAGGTGTGCTAGGGAGACAGAGTAAGAGGCACCTATCTCAGTGACTTCCCTTTCTTGAATAGCCTTCCTCAGCACTTGGCCCTGAGCTGGACAGAAACGCTGAGAGCCATTTTCCTTCCAAGGTGCTGTCTCTCATCCCTTGTTTAAAATTTATCTCTAGGCTGGGACTGCCAAACCCCTTTCCAGAGTAAATACGTCCCCTCACCCTGATGGATTGAGAATCTGCTTTTTCACAGACTTCATAAGCTACAAAGGTCATTGGCAATTTGGCTCTTCCTTTCCAGAGAGCTGCAAGCAAGCATTGAATAAATGAGGCCCAACCACTGAGCACTGTGCTAGTCAGCCTTCCGTCACTGTGACAGAATACCTGGGATAATCAACTGAAAAGGAGGAAAGATTTACTTTGGCTCATGGTTGGAGAAGCCTCAGTCCAGGGGTTGCTTGGCTCTGTTGCTTTTTGGCCCGTGTGGAGGCAGCACATCACGGCAGAGGGCACAAGGTGGAGTGAAGCAGCTCACCTTATTAGGCCAGGAAGCAGGGAGAGTGGAAGGAGCCAGGGTTCCCATATCTCCTTCTAAGGCACACGCCCATGACCTAACTTCCTTCTGCTAGGTCCCACCACCTCCCAACATCACCCCAGACTGGTGACCAAGCCTTTAGCATAGGGTCCTTTGAAAAACATCCAAGCCATAACCAGCATCCCTTCAACTTATATTTGTTCAGCACCTTTTTAAAAAATAAATTTTATTTTTTTAGAGTACTTCTAGGTTCATAACAAAACAGAGCAAAAAATATAGAGAATTCCCGTTCAACCCTTATTTTTCACAAGCTATCATGTGACAGCTTTTATTGACATGATCTTATTCTACTTCACAGGGCTGGAAGGTAGGGGTACATTTTTCATCTCTACCTGAAGGTAAGGAAACTGAGGCCTAGGAAGGTGAAAGGTTTGCCCAAGGTCTTGTCGCTTTGAGGGGTCAGCCTGGGGTATGACTTCCCTCCAAAGTTCCCAAGGCAGGAAGGCTGACTCTAATGGTGGAATTCTTTTATATCTCTATTCATTGGTGGGAGAAATATTCCAGGTGTTGAAAGGTTCTGAAAACCCTGAACTCGGCAAACGGGCGAGGTTCTCTCTGCCCATATTTGTTCAGGTCATCGTTTTTGAGTCTCTACCAGGTCCTAGTAAGGGAATTCTGGCAACTTCAGATAAGTGATAGGGATCTTCTGTGTGGTCCCCTCCCCAGCAATGATGCTGACCCCTCTTTGCCATTTCATCTGTATCAAGTGGCCAAGGCCCTGGAGCAGAGGGTACCAGGGATGGGCTGGCAAGGCTCTCTGGATGCCTCCAGTTTCTCTCCCATGACCCATTCTCATGCCTGAAGAAGTCTCGTAGCTCAGCCCATGAGGCCTGTGGAGCTACAATTCTATTTTATTCTTTTTTTTGGCCTTAGTATTTCCCAGCTCTGGACTCATAGGTGAGGGTATATGTGGCCAGGGAGTGTGGCCTAGGGGTGGGGGAGGGGGAGTTGAGTGGAGTGGGTGGCTGGTAATATTTTCCAGTTCTTTCTAAAGTGTCTGATTTCCTTAATGGACGCGGAAGTGAGCCAGCCGGCTGACTGTGCTGGCTGCAAGATTGGTTACCGCTTACATCATCTGGGCTGCCAGACTGGGGATGGGGTGGCGGGAGGTGGGGGTTGAAACTGAGCAGGGACTAATCCAGCTCTGAGTGAACCGATAGACAAAGGCGATGGCGATCAGGTCACCTTTTTCCCAAGCACAAGCCTTGGAGGTGGAGAAGAGCCAGGCATGGGGTGTTTTGCGGTAGCTCCGCCCTTTACCAATGACTGAAGAGTTCCATTCCACTCCACTGAATGCTGTCCTGTTCTGTGAGCCTTGAGTGGAGAATTTGAAATGTCTCAGGACTCTAAGTGGAAGAGGGATACAGAGAGACTTAAGATTATAACAGCCTTCTTGGCCCTGCTTCCCTAGTGGGGGACAAGAGATATTGCATAGGTTAGCTTTTGCTGGATGAAACACCCCCAAGGTCAATTTGCAATCTGTGACAACATTCCCTTAGTGCCTTGCGGGAGTCTGAATTGGACCAGGTATTGCTGACTCTAGCTTATGTACTTGTGGACTGGTGGTGGGTCAACTGCTGGCCAGTGATGGCCTGCCAGACTTCTTTCCTCCTGCAGGTGAACTGGAGCTTGTTTGGGTGTTAGTGGTGGAGGTCCAAGAAAGTGAGGGGGAGGGGCAGCATGCAAAGCCTCTGGAGCCCCAGGCTTGCCATTCATACGATGATACAGATGATGGTGCTACTTCTGGTAGCTCTATTGGTCAAAGCGAGTTATGAGGCCAGTCTGAACTTGAAGGATGGGGGAGAGGCTCCACCTATTTTTTTAACTAATTATTATTTTTTTATTAGAGCATTATAGCTACACCTAGTATTTGAGTTCATTTTGACAAAATCATACATGGGTAGAATTTGACTTCAATCCCTCTCTCCCCACTTTCTCTCTCCTCTACCCTCCCCCCACTCTCTCTCCTCTACTGATCTTCCTTTCACTTATTTATTTATTTAATTTTGATAGGTACTTTCTACTTATACATAAAGGTAAAATTCCCCATGGTATATTTATATACGCATATAACATGATTTTACGAAATTCATTCCATATCGCCTCCCCTTTCTGTCTCCTCTTTCCCTCTCCCGATCTCCTTCTTTTACCCCACTGTTCTTCCCTATGTCTTTATGATATCTAATCCCCTCTCCCTCCAAACTACTGGCCTTCTTTCCCTTATTTTACTCTAACTTCCACATATAAGAAAAAAACATTTGACCCCTAATTTTCTGAGTCTGTTATTTTACTTAGCACGATGTTCTCCATTTCCGTCCATTTACTGAGAAATGAGGCTCCACCTCTTGATGGTAAAGAATTGCTGACAGTTTTTGCACTCTACTTTAGACACATGTACCATGATACATAGAAGATGGATAATCCTCTATAATTGTTCTTACCACAAGCAGTTACAGCAAGTTTGAGGAAGAGTACAGTACTTTTCCCTTGTCCACTGTGGAAATGTATCAAGACTCCCAGGTGATGTCTGAAACTATAGACTATGGAAACCCACACGTACTATGTTTCTTCCTATATACATATGTCTATGATAACATTTAATGTGTTCCTTAGGCACAGTGAGTGATTAACAATAGCTAATAATAAAAAAGAACAATTATAAGAATATACTGTAATGCAAGTTATATAACATGGTCTATCTCTTTTACAATATCTTATTGTACTAGACTGTCCCAGGAGAGATAACAGAAGCTACAGTAAGGGAGCTGACGGGGTGAGTCAGATGGGAGAAGTTTAGAGAACACTTCACAGAGAAGGGAGCCTGTTTTGTCAAACAGAACCACATGCCTATTTCTCTTTCTTTCTATTAGTTCCTCCTGTAAAATCCCATCTGGGTCCACTAGCTCCCACGTGGTCTGTTTGCTAGGTTCCTTCAGTGAACCTGAGGTTAGGATCTTTGCTCCCAGCACCAGGAGTCAAGGAAAGTGCAAGCTAGAGATTATGGCAGTTAGAAAAAGCGAGGTTCCCTGAACCCTCTTTTTACCAGATTGTAATATTTTCTCTTATTTCCCTTTTCCTCTCTCTCTCTCCCCACTTCTTCTACCCACTGTGATTTCTCATGATGATGGATCTATGGATGTCAGTAAGGAAAAAATCTAAGTCAAATTTGCTTCCATTCCATTGCCGGGGGAAGAAAAAAAATCAATCCCTTTCTTTTATTTTGTGGTGGGTTTGCACCTTAGCCCGTGGGTCTAGTGTGAATCATTTAGTCCAGTGTTGGGGGCAGGGTGGGTGGGTCCATAAACACGGTGGGCACT